GTATTGCGCTGAAGCGCGTTGACTCAGGGAACTGTGAACTCATTGTAATCATAATTTTTGATAATATAAGTGACGGGTCTTGGTCCTATTCTCATCTACCTTTGTCTCGTGTGTGGTAACTGTGTCCATTGAGTGTGAAGACGATGTTTGATGTATGCACATCTGCGTGAGTTGGTCCCCAGGACCCATGCAATGTGTACAATGTACATACTAAATAGTAAATACATGCTATGATGCTACAAACATATGCGACAAACGGACAAGCATGCATGCCATTGCATGCACGCATGCTTTTCACACACATTTTGGAGTCGGTAGTTCATACTATGTAACGACCTGCCAAAACACAGACTGAGAACACTGCTGATTTCTGGGATTTGCCGCTGGAACGAATGCCTTGCTGAGATTCATTCTGCTGTGGTTTCCAAGTCTGTGTGTGTGTGCGTGCCTGTCTGAGTGCTTGTTGGTTGAGTGTGTGTGTGACCCGCAAGGGTACTTGTTGGTTGAAAGGCCCCGCAGGGCAGGTACTTACCTGTGGCCGTGACTTTGAGGGTTGCAGCGGGGAAAACACTCAAGTAGCGGGGGTAGGCCCGCGGCACTTAGAGCAGCGGGGAAAAAACACTCAAGTAGCAGGTAGGCCAGTACCACTCAAGTAGTGGTAGAAGTGTCGGGTACTTGAGGCCGAGCAGAAGAAGACAAAAGTTGGCATTTTTAGAGGCCCAGTAGCGGTAGGTTAGAGGTAGGGCGGTACCAGTCCAAGTAGCCTGAGTCTAGGGCCTGTCCGGACGATAGCAGAGCCTGCAATGATGTTTCCCTCCGAAAGGGAGGAGGTATTGGTTGCTGGGAGGCCGCTCCGCCTAGGAAGTCACCGCCCAAGAGGCCAGTAGGCCGCTATATCTTCCGGAGGAGCAAGCAGCTCCTCCTCATTTGCGGTATGCAAGGATTGGCGACATGCTGCTGAGCCAAGCGCTGGACTTGTGCAGCGCTGTCTGGAGGTGAAGAGCAGCTGGGCGCTCAGTCTGGCTATGGCGAGCAGCCCAGCTTGAGGAGGAGGAAGAAGGGGGCGAAGGAGAGTGGGGAGGCCCCTACCTGGCTATGGTGGACACCATCTTCATCACCTTGTTGGGCACTGCATCTGGAAGGCCCCAGTTGGGGTAGTGCCTCACCAAGGAAGCTTGAGGCAGAGTCAGGCATGGCGGCTTAGTAAGCAGCGGCATAGCTGCTTTGGGTTGTCCTTTGGACAGGAGTGCAGCGACATAGCTGCTTTGTGTTGTCCTTTGGACAGGAGGGCAGAGCCCTCAGTTGTCCGCCATAGCCTAGGCTTGTGAGAAGTGGAAGAAGGGGGGGAAGCCATAGCTATGGTGGACCTATGGTGATGTCAGCAGTAAGAGGGAAAGTTATTTAATATCCAATTGGCATGGCAGCACATTATGTCGTAGCAAGACATTAACCTGTGATGTAAAGTCATAAAAATAACCCGTTTCACTACATGAGTGCGGACTGGGATGGCTCCTCAGCATTGTCAGCAACTCCTGTGATGTGGCTGTTACAACTCCGACGAGAAGATAAATAACTGCACGAAATGTGATGGAACTTCACGAAAGGCATAAGCATTAAATTTGATAAAAAGTATTAAGCCACCAGTCCAAGCACCCCTAGGTCCCCTACTGTTCATCCAGTGCTCTTCGACGAGTACAGGTCATGACTCTTCTGGTTTAAACTGAGGCCTGTTTGGAAGAGGGCTGGTAGTGTGACAGGGGGAGACTGGTGGGCCCGATAAAAAAATGAACAGGCCTTCGGAGTAGTGTTCGTCTTGCTGCATTCTGCACATGCGGAAACACATGAGCAGATAAGAAAACTGTGCGTTTGAAAAAGAACAAAAAAGCAACATTGGGGGAAAAAAAGACCTACTGTTCATCCAATGTTCGTTGACGTATACTGTCCCTGGCCCGTTCAGGAGATGGCTGGTAGGGTGACTGGGGGAGACTGGTGGCCCCAGGAAAAAACGAACAGGCCTGATGAATAGTGTTCCTCTTGCTGCAATCTGCACATGCGGAAACACATGCGTGGATAAGAAAACTGAGCGTTCAAAAAAGAACAAAAAGGCGGCATGAGGGAAAAAAAACCTCCCAAGTGACCGTCACACCTACAACGGTCGCGCTTGCATCGTGTGTGTGTGTGTGTGTGTGTGTGAGAGAGAGAGAGAGAGAGAGAGAGAGAGAGAGAGAGAGAGAGAGAGAGAGAGAGAGAGAGACAGAGAGACAGAGAGAGAGACAGAGAGAGAGAGAGAGAGAGAGAGAGAGAGAGAGAGAGAGAGAGAGAGAGAGAGAGAGAGAGAGAGAGAGAGAGTAGACAAGGGAACACGAGCAACAGCACAAAGGGGATGCCCATGCGGACATGACTTTCAGGGAATACCAGGGCACCATTTAGCTTGATATCCATCCAGGCAAAACGGGTCCAATGTGAGGCCCCGTTTTGCCTGGATGGATATCCAGCGGAACTGCACCCATGTACTTCTGGAAAGATGTGGCCGTTAACGCACCGCAAATTTGTTTTTTAAGCAGGGAGAGGTACCGATGGTTTAAGCAATATCAACTGTTCTGACGGATGAAATGGTCAGCGCACACCATGCCAGCACAGGCCTGTGACACGTCAGAACACTGGCCGCAGGTCCAACCGGTGTTCCGGGTCCACTGGGCAAGGCTCAACTGGGCTCCGCATATGTGGTGAGGCTCCGAAATCCAATGTCCGTTACGCGAAGTTGATTTTTCTCAACTGACTGTGACTGTTGATTTCCTAACGAAGGCCGCCACGCAGTCCCATGGGACCCTGCTCCTGCCTGAGGCTACCCCCCAGTGGGGGACTGCCCACAAGTTGCGGTAAACAAGAGCCTCAGGTCTAGTTGCCTGGGGTCCAGGTCACTGGTGGCATTGGACTGAGACTGTATCTTCTGAGAAGATCTGACATGCAGCCGCTGATCGCTTTGACGGAGCGTTCATCTGAAGTCACTGTGGAGATGTGAGAAGTGTGCAGCAACAAGCAAATGACACATCTTGGGCCGAGGCATTGTCCCTTCTTTTAGCGATCGATTGAATCAGGTCCAGTTTGCAGTGTGTGAGACTGTGAGTATAATAGACCAGATGGTTTGAAATGTTGTGTGTTCTGGTGAAGAGGCTCCTCTGTTTTGTGAGAGGCAGAAGAGCGGTGGTATGTACTGAATCTGTTATCCATGAGATGAGAAGGACGTCGCTATTTTTATTGGTTGTATTGGAGTTTTTGGGAAGATTACCATGAGTGTCACAACGGCCACAGACCGTTCGTACATCGATGTGCATCAAGCCAGGTGCATTCTGATGTGCCTGAACATGTCGGATGACCAGGCACATTATGATATAGGAAACGTGCTCATCTGTACAAGTTGAGAGGGGCCCGTAGCCAATTCGCAATTCCAATTTTTTACAAGGTCTCATATTCAGGCATCAAAACAGATGAGGGTTTTCTAACCGAAAAATTGGAAGCAAAATTTTCATGTACAAGGCTACAAGCGCATTTTCAATGCTCTGAAAACTTATCCCTCTAAGCTTTAGATACAGCACAACGTATTTGCAAGGTGCCGCGTTATGAAAAAAAATGGAAAAATGCTTTGAAGACTCAATGAAGAGGAATTTGTTACTGAGATTGAACAAAATCCAGGAAGAGTTCTTTTGTCTCTAGAGTCTAAACAGTGGGTGCCTCCTTTCTTCCTTTTGTGTGACTGATTGGTTGTTGCAGGTGCCTTCACAAACCGCACTTCGGCAGGTTTGTCGCTCAACCCCTTTGTCTCCCATATGCGAGGAGAATGTGTTTTGCAACTTTGGGGAAAGTACTCGTGTGATTTCAATCATTTGATTCATTTCATTATTTTCATCTCATCCCTTGAAGCAGAGGTTTACCTGCAATTACAGCATGCGCAACTTTGGCAGAAAACTTTATGGAATGAGGGGCAGCCCCTTCGTATTAGGGGATACTCACACTAGCGCTTCCCCCAATCTATGTGACTGCACTTACGGCCACGTCGAGATGCATATGACCGTAATGAAGTCCAGAAACTAAGTAAAAAAAAGCCCTAGAGTGAGTATGGCCTTTTTTTTTTCAACGGCCGGATGGACCACGGATCAGATAATATTGGAGTTTGAACTGATGATCTGAACACATACATTTCACTTGATCTATTTTTAGCCAAAAGGCCAAGAAAGGTGTATGTGTGCCCTTATTGTAACCAAGTGTTGTTCCAATTTTATGGATGACATCATGACACGAATAAATCTAGAAAAAAATGGTCCAAATTTTCACTGCATAAAAAGTACTATTGTACGCAACAGTGTGTCTGACGTCAGACGACTCTTGAAGTTCGGAATTCTTATTGTAATCCTTGCTACCTTGTTCCCTGAATGGAAACATAGTACGGGCATTATGCCTGTATTTGGGGCTACTTTCAGTTTAGATACATCAATAATGACCATACGTTCTATTCGGGCTTTGAGTCGTTCTCTTGTTTGTTTGACGTTCCCTTGTTCCTTTGACATACTCTACACTCGTGTATGTAAGTGACTTCATTCCAGGACACACGTAAGCACGCAGTACACTAGCAAAAGTCTCCCTCCAGCCAAAATGTCCCGTAGAATCACGGGCTTTTTATCTACAGGGAATGCATGGTCTATGTTCACCATGTAAGAAACAGCACTCCGTCACGTAATGGCCAGAATACCGCGTAATGAAATCAGTGTAGTAGACCTGGTGTGGCCATCAACCAGGCGCAGGCTGATGGACTCGGTGTATGCAAATTGTCGATGGCTGGGTAAACCTGGTACTGGGAGTAGGACAACTGGCGGATCCCACTTCTAACCAGTGGAGTGGACCTATAGACCTGGGCATGGCCACCAAACTGGCAGCAGGCTGGTGAAAATAATGCCCATGAAGAGATGATATTTGGAAATTGTCTGAGTGTTACCTTATGGAATTTGAAAAATTTGAAAACTTAAAAAGGAATTCAATTGTAATTAGGTAGTACCAGTAATTTGCGCTCGCGCCGTCCGGTAGCGCTACACAGCGCTAATTTGCGCTCGCGTCACGTCCCCAACTCCCGCCAGCCCGCCGCCGAGCGCGAAAGCGCCCGGCACGGTTTCGAATTCGAAATCGAGCGGCTCCACGCGGCCGCCATTGAATCTGCATGCAAATCAGCTCGCGCCTCGAGCGCGAGCCCCATCACCGTGCTCCATCACCATCCCCATAGCTGACCTAGAACGTCAGCAAGACAGCTCACTCTTCAAGCGGGAGCACTTCCATCCAAGCTCCATCCAAGCTCCAGAATCAAGTGAAGAGGCAGTGAGCCAGCTCACCCCTCAAACTAACCAGCCGCCATCTCCACGTAGGCCACCGAGGAAGAAGAAGGATCGACCTGACCACCCAAGCCAGCGACGTAAGCAACCTGCAAGGCGACCCACGCTTGAAGCAGGAGGCACACTCCCTTCCTCCATAGCCAGGGAGGAGAACAGAGCGAAAGAAAGTGAGCAAGCCTGATCTCAGGCCGCTCAATAGACATCGCCAGGAGACACCGCCGAATCTGAACGACGAGAACTAGCCAACAGCTGGAAGCATCAACGAAGCCGCCAGCATAGCAGCTCACGAATCGATCACGAGCATTCTTCGGCGTCAGAAGTGACGCGCCGACCAGCGTGCACCTCTATAGTGAAGTGCTAACTTCACACCGACTAACCTCCACGCCCAAATCTCCCCGGCCATCACCCATCACCTTCTCCCCCCGACTGCTCCCACCACACCCCTAAGTCGACCCCTCC